TGGCACTGTGGGATAAAGCACTGGACCACAAGGTCAGTTTGAACCAGAGTTGGTGGTTCAAACTCACCAGCCACTCCTTGGAAACTCTATACAGAGTTGCTATGAGTGAGAACCAATTCTACGGCACACAATAATGACAATAGGTATTATTGTTGGCTTCTTCACTTGTCATGGAGTGGTGTTGTAGGATCAGCCCTAGACTTGCTAACTACAAAGGTTGGTGGTTCAGGCACACCAGCTGCTCCTCATAAACCCTGTGTACAGGGTTACTATGAGTCAGAACTGACTTGATGGCACTAACAGCAACAACATAGATGTCATCAGGAGAATGGTGAACACTTAAAAATTTTTAAATGTTCCATTTTTCTGGCCAGAGAACTCTCAGTGTAGTCAGATCTTCAAAGAGTCTTCTGACAAGTTTGAAATTAGTGAATGACTGGCTGTGTTAGATACTCAAAGAGATCAAATGAAATAAATAGTCTTGAAAGTAACTACTGAATTTAGAAAATAGGAATGACTCTAGGAAAAATAATTACAGTAGAATGATGCAAAAAAATAGCTTGATTCCTGTGAACTTTTACATGGTATGGAATGAAGAAGAGACTTCACAAACATAAAAGAAGAACTCAACAAAGACAGTAGAACTAAAGAGCACAACCAGTTTGACCTGACAGACATATTCTGAACACTCCACCCAGGAGAAGCACAATATACATTATTTTCCAGTACACATGGAACATTTTCCAGAATAAACCATATGCTAAGTCATAGAGCAACCTTCAATAAGTTTTAAAACATCAAGATACTAAACACATCTTATATCGCAATGCTATAAAATTAAGTACCAACAAGAGGAAGATCAAGCAGGGAAACCAAATACATGGAAAATGAATAACACCCTGTTTTAAAAATTACTAGGTATAAGGAGAAATTTATTTTTTAATTCATTCCTTGAATCAAACGAGAATAAAAACAAAACATAATAAAACCTTTGATACACAGCAGAAGCAATGCTTAGAGGGCAATATGTAACAATAAACTCATAAATCCAGGATGAAGAAAGAAGCATTATCAACACTTCAATCCCACATCACCGTTAGCAAAAGAGCAGCAAAATAAGCCTACAGTTATTAGAAGAAAATAAATCATACCAGAACAATAATAAATGAAACAGAAAAACAATAGAATCAACAAGACAGGTTGGTTCTTTGAAAGGGTTAATTAAACCACAGGCAACTCTAACAAGGGAGTCACAGGAGAAGATGCAAATAACACAATAAGAAATGAAAACTGGTGGTATCACAACAGCACCAACAAAAACAAAAAGGATAGCAATATAATGCTATGAACAACTGTAACAAATCTGAAACCTGGAAGAAACGGATACATTTCTAGAAACTACCTACCTAAACTAACAGGAACTAATATAGAAAAGTTGACCCATAATAAAAGAAATTGATCAGGTCTTTAAAAATCTCCTAACAACAACAACAAAAAAGTCTTAACTGGACCCCGATGATTTAACTGGAAAATTCTACCAAACAGAAGAATTGATACCAATTATGCTCAGTTATTCCAGAATATAGAAAACGATGGAAAATTCCTGAATTTATTTTACAAAGCCAGCACCACCCTAATACAAAAGCCAGGTAAAGACACCAAAAAAAAAAAGGAAATATAGACCAATATCCCTCATCAACAGCAACAAAAAAAGTAATTGAAAAATAAAAATAAGCAGGTGGGAGCTAGAGAGAGTCGTACCTTTTTAGATGGGAGAACATTGAAGCTGAGGTTTAAAGGTTAAATTCAGAGAGTTGAAGATGCTTTGTTGTTGTTGTTGAAAATGCTTTAGAGAATTGATAGTTTAGGGGATGAGATCCCTAAGGACAGTGGGACAGAATGGACTTTAGAGAATCAGAAACTGACGTATTGTGATCAGAAGAGATACCTCCCTTCTCTAAGGTTATGAATGAAGGTGGCTCTTTGAGGGAGAGGAAGATCATGTGTGGGGAGCAAATCAAAGTTTGGGTCTCAGAAAAGCAAGCACAGGGGGCTAGTGCATGGGAGAATACAGAGCCACAATTTTTTAATATGACCGAGGGGAGCAGTGATTTGAACTGTTAGAAATATCCTGGTGTGACGCTGTGGCTTAATGCGCTGTACTGCAAAATATGTTTGAACCACGAGGTCAGCGGTTCTAACTCCCAGCAACTCCTCAGCAACCCTATATAGGGTTGCTATGGGTCAGAACCGACTCAACAGCATGCAGCAACAACGTTGATTACATTAGTGCAGGCCTCAACTGGTGGCACAGTGGGTTAAGTGTTGGACTGCTAACTGCAAGTTCAGTAGCTCAAACCCAGCAACTGCCCCTCAGGAGAGATGAAGTTGTCTACTCTAGTAAAGATTTGTAGTCTCAGAAACCCTAAGGAGCAGTTCTGCCCCCATCCTATAGGGCTTGCTGTGAGTGGGAATCAACTTGATGGCAATGGATTAGTAAAAACTCTGCATTAAAATTGGAGAAAAACTAACAACTTGTGATGTGCTGATGGCATGGTATGAATTAAACCTCACAACTGGAGCAATAAACATCTAGATAAACTGAGAAAAGATAGACGTTGTCAAGGATTTCATTATACATAGATACACAATCAACGTGTATGGAAGCAGTAGTTAAATTGCTTTGGGAAAATCTGCTGCAGAAGACCTCTTTTTATAGTGCTGAAAGCAAAAATGTCACTTTGACACCTTATGTTTGCCTGGCCTAAGACTTGGTCCTTTCAATTACCTCATGCATGCAATAGTTGGACAATAAATAAGGAAGACCAAAGGAGTTGATGCCTTCAGATTATGGTACTGACAAAGAATATACCAAAGACCAATTCTGTCTTGGAAGAAGTACAACCAGAATGCCCGTTAGAAGTGAGAATAGCAAGATTTTGTCCCACGTACTTTGAACATGTTACCAAGAAGGACCAGTTCCTGGAGAAGGACAAACTTCGTAAATAGAGGATCAGTGAAAACGAGAAAGACACTCAATGAGATGTATTGTCACATTGGCTGAAGCCGTGGACTCAAACATAGCAACAATGATTGTGAGGATAGCACAGGGCCATGCAGTATTTCATTCTGTCCTACATAGGATTGCTCTGAGTCAAAACTGACTTGACACCTAGCAGCCACAACAACATTAGTCACTGGGGAGTGATTTATAGTTAATTCAGGGAATGCCAAAACCTTGGTGCAGTTTTAACCTCCTTTCAATTTGACTTTTACTCTGCCTTTCAGAAAATTTTATCTTACTATTGTTTTACATTGCATCTAACATTGCTAGCCTCCCAGCTTTTACAAACCATGTCTGGTAATTAATTAGCCTGTCTTCCTCTTGCTTCTTAAGTTGGTGATTTTCAATGATGCTGCCCTAAAGCCAATATTATATTCACTTCTAACTTCTCAAACCTCTTTCCACTGTGTTGTGTGTCAACTGTAATAGCAACCTTTCCACCCCTACTGACCCTTTCTCCACTGTAAACATTCTCATGTATCTTTTACAAAATAAAACTGTGCTCTTCTCTAAGCTTATTACCTTACCTCAGTCTGTCGACTTGTCTTTATAAGTACACCAGTACATTTTCATAGATTATGCTCTAGAATTTAAAGATATGGAGCAAGATTTCAGAAATTCTTCCCCCACATTTTATCAGTTTTTCAGTTTCTCTTTCCAACACAAGTCTAATTGGATTATTGATTTGGCATTAGTTTTATCCGCCTCTGTTCATTCACAGTACTTTTCTATTAGAGCACTTAATTGCAATTTGATTTGTATTGTGAATGGACGCATTTGAGTTATGGTGTTAGAGGAGAATATTGAGTGCCATGGGCTGCCAAAAGAACCAATAGATCCATTTTGGAAGAAGTGCAGCCAGACTGCTGCTTGGAGGCCAGGATGGTTTAATTTCATCTCTCATACTTTGGGCATACTGTAAAGAGGGACCAGTCGCTGGAGAAGGATATCATATTTGGTAAGGTATAGGGTCAGAGAAAAAGAGGAAGACCTCTAACTAAATGGATTGGCCAAGTGGCAGCATCAATGGTCTCAAGCATGGCAACAGTAGTGAGGTTGGCCCAGGATCGGGCAGTGTTTCGTTCTACTGTGCATAAGTTCTCTATGGGTCGGTACCAACTCACTGGCACCTAACAACATACATCTCTATATCTGAAATAGATTTCTCTAAAGGCAAGAAATATTTTGGTGTGCATCATTCTCATAAAACAGAATCTTCTTTGTGTCTTACACATAGCATGTAGTCAGTAAATGCTGGTTGAGTGTCGGTTTTTTGTTTTGTTTTGTTTTTAACCACGTGAGCTCATGCTCAGTATACTACAATACTCTGAAACCTGTAAGGGCTGGAACTCGTGGGAATGCCTTGGTTTTCAAGGTCTCACAGATTTCTTACCTTTAATTGATTACAGTCTTTACACTTTTCTATTTCTTATTTTAGTGGGAGAATATTTGCATTTCCTTTCTCTGAGAGGTTTCCACACTACCTAGGTTCCAGCTTTCACAAGTTTTACTATGTGTAGAGACTTGTGGAACTGAGAAAAACAGCAAAACCATATTAAAGGTAATGGTGAATTTGTAAAGTAGTGGACAGTTGTGGTTACAAGTGTCAGATGACCCAATAAGCAAAGTCTCTGTAGACTTAATTTACAGTCTGCAAATTTCCTATCCTGTGGTAAGAATGGAATACTCAGTAAGGTAATCACAGTCTGTCTTACTAATCTGTGCTGAACACTTCCACGTGGCTTTCATGTAATAGCCAACACTGATTGTAATGCTCAATATTAATTTTACTTTAAGAGAAAATGTTACTGAATTCAAAAGATGTTTAAATTAAAACTTCTATTACAGAATTCAATAACCATTGGTTTATTAATACTGCTTTCCTTTTTTAATTGTTGCTGTTTTTATGTAGCTATAATACTGTTTTGTTTTTCTTGATAGGTTTCCTAAACAAAAAATTTTTTTAAAAAATGGAGGAATCAGTAAACCAAATACAGCCCCTGAATGAGAAGCAGATAGTCAATTCTGAAGATGGATATGTATGGCAAGTCACTGACATGAATCGACTACAACGATTCTTATGTTTTGGTTCTGAAGGTGGAACTTACTATATCAAAGAACAGAAGTTGGGCCTTGAAAATGCTGAAGCTCTAATTAGACTGATTGAAGATGGCAGAGGTTGTGAAGTGATACAGGAAATAAAGTTGTTTAGTAGAGAAGGCAGAACCGCAAAGCCAGAACCTATGCTCTTTGCACTTGCCATTTGTTCCCAGTGTTCTGACATAAGCACAAAACAAGCAGCCTTTAAAGCTGTTTCTGAAGTTTGTCGTATTCCTACACATCTCTTTACTTTTATCCAGTTTAAGAAAGATCTGAAGGAAAGCATGAAATGTGGTATGTGGGGTCGTGCCCTACGTAAGGCTGTAGCAGACTGGTACAATGAAAAGGGTGGCATGGCCCTTGCTCTGGCAGTTACAAAATATAAACAAAGAAATGGCTGGTCTCACAAAGATCTACTAAGATTGTCGCACCTTAAACCGTCCAGTGAAGGTAAGCATAAGATTTTCATTTTGGGTGGAGAAAGGGATGCTCCAATGAATAGCCAATTTTTTTGGCATAAGACATTTTTACAATGTCCAGAACTTAACCTCAAAATATACTTAATTCCAATATTTTTAATACCATCCTGAAACAATAAACTTACCACAAGTATTCTAGGCCTTAATAGTAAATAATTAAATAATAATTTGTAGATTAATATTCTGAATCTAAAAATATTAACCATGCTAATTAGAATGTTTACCTAAGTGATTATAAAATAATGAAAGCAGCACGGATAATATCAAATTGAAGTTGAAGGAAAGCAGTTACTTATTATCACGATACAGCAGATAGCCAGACTACATCCCCCTTCCCCTTATCATTTTTTTTTTCCTTCCTGTTTTATTAAAATATATGAGGGTAAGTCAAAGTGTGTTGCTACTAGAGTTCCAGTTCATGATGCATGAGTTTATTCCAAACAAAATGTGTTTAAACATGCCTCTGTAATCATTGGGTGACTGCAGACAAGTTCTGTCAGTAATCCACTAAATTTATCTTAGTCTCTAGTATTAGAGTTCCTTCAAAAAAGGTTGCCATGGGAGTCTGTTTGGCTACTACAAGAACAAGCAAGTTGTTTGCCGGGGAGCCATCAAGGCAAACAATCAAGCCCCGTCAGGACAAACCCCCCTCCAAGACTGAAATTCAAAGGAAACACATGAGCAGGCATATAAGCTTGCTGGCAACCATGTTGGCCTACCGGTGAATGGAAGAGGGGGAAAGGCAGCAATAAAGATACAGGCTGAGTTCAGCCATGTTCCATAGATTCCCGCTAACCTGGAGATGAAAGAGAGGTTGGTCTAAAGTGGGGTTAGACCTGGGGATTTCTGAGCCCATGAACAAGGACATAGCATTGGAGGTCTGGAGCTGAAAATGAAGCATCCATCAGATATGAAGTGAGGGGAGACACACAAGAATGCCCAAACTTGTAGATAGTACTCATTTGACCTAGCCTCGATGGCTTGATGATTGGCTTGATGATCAGAAGTCAACTAAAGGAAGATGTTAAAAAAAAAAAAATTGATAAAGGACAATTATCAATCCTGTTTCTTCTGCATATAAGGTTGATAGGGACAGACAACTTAGACATTGGCTACCTAAAATGAGGGGCCAATAAAGATATGAAGTTACTGGCTTACAAGTTTTCAAGAGGGAGTTTAAGAGTGTGCAGAAGCTGAATAGTTTTCATCTTGTCTAGATGTGTCTGATGAAAAGAGATGGGAATTAGATTCTTAATGATTTGGTAGTAATTGTTACCATGACTGATTGCAACTGCCACAACTATAAAGGTGGAAGATTTGTAACAAAAAGAGGGGAGTGGTTAATCTTATAGTCCAGGAACAAAGGACCCTAGGACCATCAAGGGAGAATAGCATGAGTGGAATGTGGGACCCTATCCAGAGAGGCAGCAACAGGAGAGATGGAGCCAGAGATGAGGACATGGAAAGAGAGAGCAGCTGAGGACTCTAGATTCATGGAAAGAAAAAGATTGAATGCTGTGACGGCCAGAAAGCAGGCTTACAGAATGTGCTCTTTGGTTTAAATTATTATATATTCCTGAGTGTTTTTGTGTACACCCCCCCCCCAAAAAAAAAGAGGGAATGGAAGCAAATAATGTTGAATGTATTGTAATGAAATGATAAGTATAAAAACCAATGTTCTCCAATGTAAACTATCACTCAATTCACAATAAAAACTTTTTTTTTTAATTGCTTTGTGAGGGGGAGGGCGAAGCAAAATGATTTTGAAGACAAGTTAATCAAATTTTTAACAAAATTCAAATGGCTGTCTTTCCAAATCATTGAAGCTTTTAAATACGTTTAATTTTTAAAAACAGTTTTTAGATAGATAGATCACTTATTTCAAGGAAGGTCAGCAAGACCTCAAAGATGAACCAAGAGAGGGAAGAATTTCAATCTTGACAAATGTGATTAAAGGCCGCAAGCTGGTGAAAGAAAGCCATAGAATTACCATTGATGTGATAGTTACTTAAGTCAAGATCACACATGATTTGACATTTCAGTTTTCAGTGAACATCTTGGCTGGCATCAGTAAGCTTTCAGCTTGGATGCCAAAAGCACTGTGTGAAAATCAACTAGCTAAAAGAACTGATGTTTCCATTACTCTTTTAACAAAAATTGAAGCTAATGAAGACAATTTCATGGAACAAATCATAAATGGAGACAAATTATGAATTACCAATATGATCCAGAGTTCAAGACCCAGTGAAAACAGTGGCATCCAAGGGGATCTATTAGGCTAGTTAAATTCCATGCAGAGAAAGTCACTTCAAAAGGTTATTGTGACTGGTTTTCGGGATTCCAAAAAAGTAAAATAACCTTAGTGGATTTTCTCAGAGGACATGGAACAATCATGGAGGCTTACTAGAAAAAAATGTTAAGAAAATTGAAAACTGCATTAGTGAGAAAGATGCAAGGTAAGTTGCTCCAATAAATGTTTTTTTGCATCACAACAATGGACTTTATCCTTACAGCAAGGGCTTTGGAATGAAAATCTTGTTGGGAAACTCTTCAAACTTCTTTTTGGTTCAAAAACTCAAAGAACGCCTAAAAAGAACACAATTTGAAGGGGACCAAAAGTGTTGTCTTAACTGACATATAAATCAAAGAGTGTGAGATTCATCAGAAAGAGCTAAACTCAGGCTCACTGCCGTTGTTATTTCTTATTCATAGCAACCCTGTAGGACTTGTAGAACTCCTTAAGAGTTTCCAAGACTGTACATCTTTATGGAAGCAGATAGCCTTATCTTTCTCTTTTGTTGTTAAGTACCATGGAGTTGATTGGGACTCATAGTGACCCCACACAGGGTTTCCGAGGTTGTAAATCTTTACGAGAGCAGAATGCCTGATGTTTGTCTTTAGAGAGATGAAAAATTTTCCTCAGAAATGTATGGAGGATGGATCAAATAATAACTTTACATTTTGATATTTTTGCTTATTAAACATTTGTATGATTTTGTAGCAGTACTTTTTGACTTACCCTCATATGTTCAAAGAACCTAAATGCATTGCTGTCAAGTTGACTGTGACCATAGGAACCCTAGAAGGCAGAATATGCTGCCCCATAGGACTTCTCAGGCTGTAAATCTTTACAGAATCAGACTGCCACCTCTCTTCCACAGAGTGACTGATGAGTTCAGTTAGCAGCCAAGCCCTTAACCTGACACACTAAGAGCTCCTATACAACTTCAAAAAGTTCATGTAATAATAGCTATCCCATATTTAGGCATATCATATTGTTAAGTGCCATTGAGTCTGTTCTAAGACTGTACATCTTTGTGAGAGCTGAAAGCCTCCTCTTTCTCCCACACAGTGGCTGGTGGGCTTAAACCACTGACCTTGTGTTTCACAGTCCAGTGCTTATCCCACAGAGTCACTACACTTCTTTATATAGGCACAAGGAAAGCCTAAACTTCTCAGATTGTTTTGAAACTCCAAGGACAATCGATACAAATAAGCAATGTTTTAATACCTTCACTGAAAGGTACATTTGTCATAGGTAAAATAAGTCAGTCAGATATTTACTGTATATCTACTGTGTGGCCAGCATACTTCTAGAACTGGGTAGATAATGGTAATTAGAATATTTCCATTAAGACAGTCTTCATTTCAGTTGGAAAAACAAATAGAAGACATACTTTCATGAAACAGTTAATCATTTAAGACAATAAAAAAATTGGGGACCAAAGTCTGGAGAACTGTAAGAGTTATACTAGTTTGGAAGTTCCTGCATATTAGTGTTGACTTGATAAAATGATTAAAATTCAAGTTCAGAAATAGCACATTGTCTGTCTGACTCTGGCTTATCGAGATGTATCTTATTTTTGGTTGCACAATATTTTAGGAGGAAAAATGAAGTCTTTACCACCATTTTAACAAATAAGACTTCACTTGAAAATCCATGTTCTAACCTGGCTAAAACTTTATCAGGATAATTCTCTTCAGTTTACCACATACAGTCATAACCGTTTCCTTTTATGTCACTGTATTTTCACCATGCCTGTTTTACTTATTTTACCTGCTTGTCACGCCCCCCTGAAAAAAAGAAACTTGAATTTGAAAATTCAGCCCCTATACATACACATACACACTTTTTATCGAAGTAGAAATTAATGCAGCTCATTTATTAATTAAGGTTAGAACCCAGATTTTCTGACCGCTAGTTCCAAAGCTTTTTCTACTGTTAATGTAATTACAAAAGGAATGAACAAATATTTAATTTTCCTCTTTTTAAAAAATTTGACCAGTAATGGTTTCTCAGCTATTAAAAGAAATAAAACTGATTTACCCATTTACTTCCATTTATTGTATTATTCAGAACGTGTGTTTTTATTTAGCACCTGAAGAGAGACGATTAACTGAGATATATTCATACTCTTGTAAAAAAAAAAATTTTAATGAAATGACTTAGGATATGTCTCCTCAAAACAATTTTGTTTACATATTCTCATTTAACATGTTCTATTTTTTTACCTGGTAACCCAACTTTTTTCATTGTTTATTTTCTTAAGGGCTTGCTATTGTGACCAAATATATTACAAAAGGCTGGAAAGAGGTCCATGATTTGTATAAGGAAAAGGCACTTTCTCTGGAGACTGAAAAATTATTAAAGTATCTGGAAGCTGTAGAGAAAGTAAAGCGAACAAAAGATGAACTGGAAGTCATTCATCTAATAGAAGAGCATAGATTAGTTAGAGAGCATCTTCTAACAAATCACTTAAAGTCTAAAGAGGTGAGTGAATTCTAATATAGTTTGTGATTAAATATGTCCCTGAGTGGTACAAACCATTTGAGATCAATTACTAGCTTAGCATTTGGTGGTTTTTACAAAGCAGCTGTGCCATGGAAGGTAAACCTGACGATCTGCTTCTGTAAACAGTACAGCCAAAATATTCTGTGGCGCAGTTCTACTACGTATATGTAACACACCAGGTTGTCATGAGACAGAGTTGACTCTGACTCTGGGTTTAGTTTTTGTGATTAGACAAGAGTAGTGAATGTATGAATATATTTAAAAAGGAAAAACATATGACTACATGCATTTTTTTAAAGGCAGTTGTATCTTGATATTAATACTTATTTGAAACACCTTTTGCAAATATCAGGAATATAATTGGCATTTAGTAAATAGTAGTTACACTACAGAAAATATATGCCTTGCCAATTAGAATTTTTCTGTGCCGTTCCTTTGAGTATCGGTTATATCTTTATTTCATAATCCTTTGGCCAATTAGCACAAATTTTCATTCTCAAAGTGCAATGAACCCCAAATTAAAGGCTTAGAGAATAGATAATGATTATTGTTAAACGTACTAATTCATCTCCCTTTGGATTTTTTATACTTCCTATGTTATTGCAATAGATATGGAAGGCTTTGTTGCAAGAAATGCCTCTTACCGCATTACTAAGAAATCTAGGAAAGATGACTGCTAATTCAGTACTTGAACCAGGACAATCAGAAGTATCTTTAGTATGTGAAAAGCTATGTAATGAGAAACTACTAAAAAAGGTAAGCATTCTCAGTGCCCTTCCTTTTACTTCTATTAATTTGAAAAATTGTCTTCTAAATTCTGGAAATGTAAACAGTGCAATTTTTTTAGGTGTTCTTAGATTTTTTTCTCATACCAAATTGCATTTTGACAAATCCTCCTTTTTCTTCCTTTTTTTTTTTTTAATAGCAACAATAACATGAAAATCCAAGGAAGATACATAAATAATTACTGCTATTTTTTAACTTGAATTTTACACTTACTTTCTGCTTTTGTCTTATTTCCAGGCTCATATACATCCATTTCATGTTTTACTTGCACTAGAAACTTATAAAACAGGGCATGGACTCAGAGGAAAACTGAAGTGGCACCCTGATAATGAAATATTAAAAGCATTAGATGACGCTTTTTACAAAACATTTAAGGTAATGTTTTTATTAATATCTTATAAAACATATTTCAATGTTTGTCATAGAAGTTAAAAACATTTGGGGTTACACACTAATTAGTTTTTCCTTAGTTCATAAAAATACATCCACTCCCCACTTTCTGACATGTTAGATTCTAAAGACGCAGTCATTTTGTGAAAATCCGTGTTAAGCAAACATAGAGGATGACTTAACTGACATGCCACAGATAATCATGACCGAGCCAGGCTGATGCATAACCTTAACCATCACAGCCCATGTTACTCTCACCTCATACCTCAGGTGTTTATTACTGTCAGATATGTTGTGTTCATGCACAAAGTAGTCAGATAGTAGATTTTTCAATTTTGTCATAAATACAAAATTTTGTAATATAATGAGCGAGGAGTACAAAATACAAAATTTTGTAATATAATGAGCTCTGGTAGCGTAGTGGTTACGAGTCGGGCTGCCAACCTCAAGGTCAGCAGTTCAAAACTACCAGCAGTTCCGTGGGAGAAAGATGAGGCGTTCTGCCCTCATAAAGATTTACAGCCTCGGAAACCCTATGCAGGGTCGCTATGAGTCGGAACCGACTCCACGGTACATAACGTCAACAATAGGTATATAGGTAAATAATGTATATTGTAATTTTCTGAGTACAATATTTTTTCCTACCTAAGGTTATAGTATAACTCTGTGGTATGGCACTGGACTGCTAACCACAAATTCGGCAGTTCAAACCCACAAGTTGCATCTCAGAAACCCTGTACAGGGTCACTGTGAGTTGGAACTGACTCAACAGCACTTCACAACAAGATCATTTTATCATTTTAATTAACAAATTTTAATCTGTGCATTCCTGTTGGATCCTTTGACTTGCTCTTCTGTACTGTTTTACCTGTTAATCAATAGATGTGTATCATCTGCTTTGATAGGAAGTGATGAGATATGTATATACAGAGAGAA